AGAGAAATGAGATACGAGTGGATCAACATTTCATAGTAGAGTTTTCCATTGACAATCAACTGCAAGATCAAGTTTGGTGTGATGTGGTTTCCATGGATGCCTGTCACATCCAATTGGGTAGATCATGGCAATTCGATCGCAAGACTCAAAATGACGAGTTCCAGAACACCTACTCATTCGCAGAGGCGAAGCACATTGTTTTCTAGTCCATCAAGGATTCAAAAGGAGAAGATATACACGTCGTGGAGAAGCTCATGGTCCCACATTCCACCTTTCTACACTTTTGTACGAGAAGCCTCAGTCGTGATGGCCTTAATCGTCTTAGCGGGGACAAAGGAGAATACCAAGCCACCAATGGTGATCCATCTGCTGCTAGCCGATTTTTTAGGATGTGATGACCGACAATCTACCAAAAGGTCTACCACCACTTGAGGTATCCAACTTACCATATATCTTATTTCTAGTTTGGTATTGCTGAACAAGCCCACCTATATATTGAGTTCAACTAAGTACGAGGAGTTACAGCGGCAGTTGTAGGATCTCATTGCTAGAGGGTTGGTTAGAGAGTATCGACCCATGTGTTGTTCCCACTCTGATAGTGCCTAAGAAGGATGGTTCAGGAGAATATGTATTAATAATCGAGTTATACCTCGCATAGTTGATTTATTGGATCAGTTGCATGGGATCATTTTCTTTTCCAAGGTCGACCATGTGCAACAAATATCACCATATCAGGTTTATCGTTGTTTACTTTGACGACATCTCTTCTACAGTAGTTTGGAGGAGCACTTGCAACATCTAAGATTGGTTTTTAAGGAGTTGCGATTGGAAAAGCTATATACTCACCCAAAAAAGCATCTCTTTTTGACAGTACGAATTTGCCTTTTGGGTTACATTATATTTGCAATAAGCATTTAGATGGGCCTTAGAAAGATCGAAGTAATCGTGAGTTGGACTCCCCCACATTTTTTTAACGTGTTGAGGCAGTTTTTGGGGTTGACATCAATTTATAGGAGTTTCATTAGAGCTTTAGCACCATTGTAGCTCTCCTGATAGAACTTTTGAAAGAAAAGAAGTTGCACTAGATAGAGGCAGCTCATTACAACTTTGACACTCTTAAGGAGAAGGTGATGCAAGCTCTAGTGTTGCTCTACCGGATTTCAACCAATTGTTTGAGATGGAGTGTGATGCTTGTAATGTGGGGAATAGAGCAATACTGAGTCAATGAGGACATCCCAGAGCCTTCTTCAATGAGAAGTCAAATGAGTCTAAGAGAAATATTCGACACACGACAAAGTTCTATGCAATATGGAGAGCTCTTCACCACTGGAGTCACTACATGTTGACAAGCGAGCTCCATTTATTCATGGATCACGAGGCTGAGATTCTTGAACAATCAGAGCAAGCTGAAGGGCATGCATGCTTACTGGATCGAGTTCTTGGTGTCATTCCAGTTATTGTTCTAGCACAAAGAAGGAAGCCAAAATAAAGTAACATATGCCTTGAGTCACCACCATTTGCTGATAATCTCCTAGACTAGAGATGTGGGGTTCGAGGCGCTAAAGAAGTTGTACAAGGTAATGGAGGATTTTGGGGAGATTTGGAAACAATGTCAAAAGAAACTTGCATGACAGTATCACATATTTGATGGCTACATGTTCCACCAGAACAGGTTGCGTATTCCCAGATGTTCGTTGAGGGAGTCCATCATTCAGGAGAGTCACATTGGGGGATTAGCGCGTCACTTTGGCAGAGATAAGACCCTCACATTGGTGAAGGAAAATTTCTTCTAGCCCAAACTAACAAGACGTGTGAAGCGATATGTTAGGCAGTGCAAAATTTGTTACATGGCCATTACTACAGGGCAAAATACAGGACTATACACACCATTACTAGTATTATAGGCTTTTCGGGTAGATGTTAGTATGAATTTCGTGGTGGATCTTCCAATGAAGCAGCGAAACAATGATTCAATGATGGTTGTGGTTGACAGGTTCTCGAAGATGACTCATTTCATACCTTGCCACCGGACATTAGATGCATCACATATAACTGACTTGTACTTTAGGGAGATTGTGAAGCTGCACAAGATACCCAAGGCCATTATATCTGATAGGGATGTTAAGTTTTTGAGTCACTTTTGGTGGATCCTATGGGCGAAGCTTGTTACTCAGCTTCAATTCAACTCAACTGCTCATTTACAGATGGATTCTCAGACAAGGGTGCTGAATATGAGTTTGGGGAATCTCTTGAGGTGTTTTATAGGAAAGAACATCAAGCAGTTGGATTTGATTCTAGCCCAACAGTTCCTTGAGTCAGATTACGAGACGCACCCCCTTCGAGGTCATATATGGGTGCAACCCACTCACTCCACTTGAGTTGGTACCACTTCCTCCTACTTTAGAGACTAATGTGGATGCTGACGTGAGGGTACATGAGATTCAGAAGCTACACGAAGAGATTGGGAAAAAGATCATCAAGCAGATCACAAGTACCAGGTACAAGCTAATAAAAATAAAGAAGATGGGGACATTTCAGGAGAGAGATCTAATTCATACTGAAGAAAGAGAGATTTCCCACAAGATCATTTGGGAAACTCAAGCCAAAAGTGATGCTCTGGGTGTATCCTTTTCATTGTGGTGATTAGTTTCTAATGATTGGGTGGTGTTCCGTGTGTATCTTGCTCTCGAGGTGGTATTTATCTTCGAATTTGCTTGCCCCACAGCTGCCCCTTCATTGACGCGACCCCTTGCCTTGCTGCACTTCCCTCCGCAATGCTTTTCTTGTTAGCCACCCTTTCTTCCAGCTGCCAACTCCATCCCCAACTTCCTTCCCTTTCAACCGTAGGTCACCCCCCCCCACTTCCTCCACACCACTGCCGCAACTCTCCCTCCCACCTAGCACTCTTCCATCCCGCATAGCCGCCCAACACCCCTTGGGATACATTCTTAGTGGTGTTTGTATCGTGTCTGTTGCTATTTTCATATCTGTTTGTGTGATTTGATTTTTTTTTTTAATTCAACAATAATATTTTGTTTTCCTATCGTTGTTTGACTAACTCGGTATCAACATGTATCTAAAACAGATGAGATTTCAAAAGATAAGCTATTCTGATTAACAGAAACCCTAGATTCATTCTTTCTTTAGGTGGAAGTGGAAATCCTGTAACAGGAGCCTCTCTAATTATTTCGGCATCCTCATTGGATCCAAAAAAAATAAAAAATGCAAAATTGATGAGAAGCAAAATCATCAGGAAGATAGTAAATACAATGTGGAATTTTGGATGAGCTAAAGAAGTGAAGAAGAGAAGCATGCTCGCCTCCATGTATCATTGGTGGAAACTTCTCGAAACAATTTGAATATTAAGCATATAAATCACAATAGGGGAGAGTCTTGACATTACTTAGTCATGATCATTAGGTTATGAAATCCTTACCATACAACATTTCTTAAGTAAAGCACAATATAATGGGGACAAAAACAAAATTACTTAACAATCACGCCCGGAAAAAATCAATGCCAGCGCGCTATGACAGTTGAGCTTTGAGAGGAATCAATTTATTTAATTACCACAACTCAAATTATTATTCAAGCAGGATGTTTTAGACTTGAATTAACTGTAAAAAAAGTCTGAGTTGATGGCTTGACAAAAGACTTGGCTTGAAATATATCATGTTGACTTCAAATTGCTCGAACTGGAAGCTTCAAGCAATGCTACCAACCATACTAATGGTCTACTCTTGACTGTCAATTACTACTTTGAAGACCTGAGTTGGCCATTAGGGTTGTCCAAAAAAATCGATATTCGTGTTGGCAGGCTCTAACTCAATAAATTGCTCAAGCTTGGCTGGTTTTACAAGCTCAAATACTTAATAAGCTGAACACAAATATGATCTTGTTCAATCATTTTCAACTCGATAATGTACATAGCGCATATCTCTATTTTTATATGTTTGAATGGATAAATGTAAAGTATCTAATTTATATAAAGACTCAATTAAACTTTATGTTTGAGAAAAGAGAGCACAAATAGAACTATAGAATTAATTTTCTTGTTTGCTCAATTGGATAATATATTGATTACTAAAACTAGTGTTCATTGAATAAATTGTTTTTGTGATGCTCTTGATCTATAGATTCACATGAGATGAGAATCACAGTTTAGAGTTGCTTTCACCTTGTCTTCCCTGAATATTTCTCCATGTTAAAGAAACATTTTTATTGAAAAGCATATGATGCCTTGAAACAAATTTATTTCTATAAAAGAAACTTGTAAAATGCTTGGCCATCTAGTTTATTTTATAGAGCAGAAATTTTTTATTTGAAATGAAAAATAGAGAAAGTGGACGTGTATTGGGATATATAGTCATTGAAGAATTTAGGTTATGCATTATACGTCTGTGCTCTTGTGTGTGCGCCTGTGTTTACACAGGACTATTTCAAAGGGCTTTATTTTCTGTTCATTAAAAGGCTGTTAATTACCCTTTTTGCATAGGACATGACGTTTAGATGGAAATTTGATTAACCTAGTGGTCAGCTTATTTTTATATTGCCTTTTGTTCTGGCCGTTTTTCATGCTCAACTTTCTCAACTCTTTTTCTAATTTCTAATTTATAGGAGTCATGCGGCATCCTTAGAAGAGTTGAAAAAATTGCTTATATTTATTGTCTATTAAAAATTTATTCCCTGCGTAGAAGTAATTTCTCTTTTTAAAAGTAGCAAGTATCTATGCCAACTCCTTGGGATTTGCTTTGGATGCACACATTATAATGCCATTTTATTGAAAGCTATGGTGACATTCTAATGTGTTCTCACCTTGCTTGTTTTCAAAGTTTCTTAACTTCTGGGTAGTGGCCTGAATTGATGAATGTATAGTTGAGAAGGAAGGCTTCTTTATACTTGCATCTACTTTTTTGGTCAATATTTTTTAATCTATTGTTTACCAAGTGAGATTTTTTTTTCTCTGACATGATTTTTACCATGCCTTAACCAAATTTCAGTGGGTGGTTATTCACGGCTACAAAACTTGTGAACCCATTGTTTGCTCTGTTAGATCCAGAAGTTGCACATCATTTGGCTGTTTTAGCTGCTGCTCGGCGCTTGCTTCCTAGGGAGAAAAGGCCTGACCCAGAGGTACTTGGTCTGGAAGTATGGGGCCGAAAATTTAGAAATCCCATCGGACTTGCTGCTGGTTTTGATAAGAATGCTGAGGCAGTTGAAGGTTTACTTGGGTTAGGATTTGGTTTCGTTGAAATTGGTTCAGTTACTCCTATGCCACAGGAGGGCAATCCAAAGCCTCGGATATTCAGACTACCAAAGGAGGGGTAAGCATGTTGTTTTATTTAAGTTTCTTAACATTAATAATAGAGTAATGTGCCCAAATAATCCCCTAATTATTTAGATGAGGTCATTTTAATCTAGTGTGCATAAAAATGCCAAATTATTCCCCAAGCCCATTAATTTGGAGCTAAATTACCATCGGTGTGGATTATTTAAGCCCATATTAAAGAAGTTTAGAGACCAAATTAGCACTTTTATAGACTCAAACTAAAATAGCCCCCTAAAAAAAAATCGGATGACTATATTGACACTTTTCTCATTAATAATCACAACTTTATCTTACAATTTCAATAATCAAACATTCTTGATTGAATTATCTGAATTGAATATTCATTAACAAATTCTTGGTTTTGTTGGCAGTGCTATAATAAATCGATGCGGATTCAATAGTGAAGGTATTGTGGTTGTTGCTAAACGTCTCGGTGCCCAGCATGGAAAAAGGAAAATGGAAGAAACAACAAGTACTTTATCTTCATCTAAGGATGATGTGAAGCAGGGAGGCAAAGCTGGTCCTGGAATTCTTGGCGTCAATATTGGCAAGAACAAGACAAGTGAAGATGCTGCTGCAGATTATGTTCAAGGAGTTCATACCCTCTCTCAGTATGCTGACTACTTGGTAATTTTTATTTTATACCTATAGTATCACTTTTCTAATTTGTATGAATTATTAATTTGTGGTGATGCGCTTGAGTGCTGTTTAAATTTTCTTCCTTTTTGGTGTATTTTTCAATTCAGGCCAGTGTCTTAAACTTTCATAGTTTATATCATTCTGCTGGCATCTCCGTTAGTTTTTATTTTATTTTATTTTATGCAGCAGATTTATTGGTGCTGCTGTAATTTGCGTCTTTTTATTGTGATCTACTAACGAGGTGAAATCTCGATGCTTTGAAATATTATTTTTATAAGGTTTGAAAATTGACTAATCTCCAGTTTATGAAAATTGATTAATTGTAGTTTCTAATTTTGTTTAAAGAAAACTCTTTAATCGATGCAGTTTATTTTGTCTTTTGTCCTGTTTGCAAGTTGTTCGTTTAACAAAATTATTTGGCATATAATAAGTAAATTCATAAAGTTATTTCTTCTTTTAATTTAAAGACCTTTTTTAAATTTAATTTATTTACAGTTGCAGCATACGAATACTGAAATTCATACAAAGTGCTATTTTGTCAAATGATTCTATGGGTAATTGAACCCAAAATATGTATTTATATAAAAAGTTTTATTTTTGCAATTGTATCAGGAGGCATGCATCTTGAAAAACTTTTAGTCTGTGTTTGGATGCCACGAATTGAGTATTGTGAAATGAAAAAATGGTTGAAAACTTAATTTAACAAATTTTGATTTTTAGTCAACTTATAAATTGTTAACTGCACTTTCATTATGTGACAAAATGAAATCAAAGTCATCTATGATACCAGGGTAGCGGAATTGGGTTGTGTGGAATTTAGGAGGAACTCTTGGAGGAAAAACTATCTAATTTATCATTTTACTAATACAAACAAATAACAAATTATGTACAACTTAGACAATCCTTGATACAATTGGTGCAAAATTCAAATCATCATGATAAAAATGAAACAAATAAAAACACAATGATGAATAATTAAGGGAGAATAATTTCTCCCTTTCAAATGTAGCAATGTACCCACGGTTTCATATCAACACTCCATCTCAAGTTGGGTTGTATATGTTAGACATCTCAAACTTGTTGTTGAGATTACTAAAATGGTGCCGAGGAAGTGTGTTGGTAAGAATGTAAACATTCTGATTTTGAGTTGTGATATAGTTTACTTGAACAACCCCTCTATTAACCTTCTCAGAGATGAACTGTCTGTCAACCTCTATATGTTTGGTCTGATCTTATTGTATCAGTTTCTTTCAAATACTGATGGTTAATTGATTATTATTGAATATCTTAGTAGTGCTTTTGTTCTTAATGTGTAGTTCCACAATTAATTACTTAGCCATATCCCTTCACAAATTTCTTGGGTCAGGGCATGATACTAAGATTTTGTACTACTTCTTGCCACCACAGTTTGTTTTTTTTACTTCTCCAAGTAACTGGGTTATCCCATAGAAATGAATAGTAACCTGTAGTGGATCTTCTGTCAGTCAGCTCTCTTGCTCAACTAGCATAAATTTAGATGTCATTGTTACGATTCTCAGTTTTCTTGAGTATTAATCCAGGTCCTTGAGTCATCTTTATTTACCCCAGGATTCAAAAGACCACTTCTAAATGATTTTCATTTGGATCGTTCATATGTTGTCTCACTACACTCACATAAAATGCAATTTTAAGACTTGTAGGTGACAGATAAATAAGTTTTCTCAGAAGTATTTAATACATCTCTTTTTCAACAGGGGTGGTATCCTCTCTTTTTGATGCTCATCGATTGGGATTCATAGGAGTATCCTAAAGGAGATATGAATGTTAGGATATGCCAGTTTTTTTCTTTGATAATAAATCAAAGATATATTTTCTTTGGGATATGACAGTTTTTTTAGTTCTTGCTACTTCCATTCCCAGGAATTATCTTAAAGCTCCAAGTTCTTTGATCTCAAACTCTGAAGTCATTATTCTTTTGATTGTTTCAAGCTCCATAACGTCATTGTCTATAAGAATAAATTTATCTACGTAGGCAATTAGGATGACTATCATACATTCTTGATTTGATTCCATAAACAAAGTGTGATCAGCCTGACACTGATAGTAAACTATTGACAAAAATATTCTCGGTAAACCTTTCAAGTCATGTCGTGGGAGATTTTTTCAACCCATATAATAATTTTTTTAGTTAGCACTCTAGCTGATTATTTGTGTTATTTTTTAATCTTGGAGGTATCTCCATATACACTTCTTCCTTAAGGTCCCCATTAAAAATGCATTTCTAATGTCTAGCTAATGTAAAGGCCAGTCATTGTTGACAACAAATGCAGTAATATTTTTGCTGTGAACAATTTCACACTCGTTCAAATGTCTCCTGGTAATCGATCTCATAAGACTAAGTGAACCCTTTTGTTACAAGTCTAGTTTTGAACCTTTCTATACACTTATTACTTTGTATTTAATTTTGAATCCACATTTGCATCATATATTTCCTTTCCCAGGTGCAGAGTTTTTATGATCCATATACAATTCTTTTCAAGAGCAAGAATCTTTTCTTCCACAATTTTTTCCAAGCAGGAATAGATAAGGTTTCTTGGATTGAATTTAAGACCCACACATTATCCAAGTTATGAACAAAAGATTTGTAAGAGGATGATAATTTTTCATAGTTCACAAATTTTTCCATTTGGTGTTGTGTGCATTCTTTTGCTCCTTCTTCTTGGTTGTCATGATGTGCTCACCCAATCACTGTGTTAATACTTGAGGTGTGTGGAGTTGGTTTCAGTGGTTTACATTTTTGGTTTTACATATTATCCCTTACATGCTCGGTGGATTAAGGCTTTGTTGTTGTTGTTGTTGTTGTTTTTTTTTTGTTGTACACACAAAGTTCTTTGCTCCTAGTGGGAGCGGTGGAAGGATTAATTGGAGTAGTAGGTTCATTTTCAGGTTGATTTTTGATAGCGGAGAAAATAGTAAGTTTATTAGTGATATAAGGGAGGTGAGTTCCACATTTTTGAATGATGCCCTAAATTTAATATTTTCTCCAACTCTTTAGATTTGTGATAATATGGTTGATTTTTAAAGAATGTGACATCCATGGAGTTGTTGAATTTTTGTGTGTATAAAGAGTAGCATTTATACCCCCATTTTGTTTAAAGAGTAGTCTGCAAAGATGCATTTGATTAACTTGGGATTAAGTTTGAACAAAGACGATGCAACAAAAAATTTTTAATGATAGGTTAGGGCTGAAGGATTGAATGTGGGGGTAGGATTTTATGAGGGTGTTGAGAGGTTTGTTTAACACTCTGTTGAGCATCCTATTTATATGATAAGTGCATGTGAGAAGTACATTGTCCAAAAGTGTTTGGGTACAATGCTGCTTAATAGAATTAAACTGGTTACCTCGAGGAGATGTTTGTTCTTTCTCTTATCTACACTATTTTATTGGGTTGTGTCAACATAAGAGCTTATATGAATGTCTTTTTTCGATAGATAAGGGCCAAGAGTAGAGTTATAGTAGTCTTTTGCATTAGTAGTTTTGAGAATATGAATTTTGCTTTATGATTGGGTGAAGGATCATGTTGTGGAAGATCTTAAATATGCTGACAATTTCAGATTTTTTCCTTAATGAGAAATGTTCAAGTGGTTCTGGTGATTATCAATGAAGGTGAAAAACCATCTAACACCATCTATATTTTTTATTTTTGAGGACCCCTAGATATCACTCTAAATCATGGAGAAGGGATGTGTTAGTTTGTATTTAAGTCTTCGGTACATTTGTCGAGTATATTTTGTAAGTTGGACAAGTTTTACACTGATAAGAATTAGGTTTTTTATTGATAAACTAATGAGGATGCAATTTTTCAATATAAAATAATTAGGATTCCGAAGATGAAAATGCTATAACATAACTTTGACTCTGATGAGAAACAGCTCCGATACAAGACTTGACTCGAAGGATTGTGAATGGTGGGACAATTTTTTTGAATTTGGAGTCTTAGTAAGTAGATGAAGTCCATGATACATGTCAGCACTGCTAATCACATTCCCTAAGTTCATCACTTGAAATTCACACAATTATGGTAGAATTTAGTAACACAATTTACGTCACGAGTAAGTTTTCCGATAAACAGTAAATTACAGTTAAGTTTAGGAACATAAATCATAGACTGAAGAATAAGATCCTTTATAAGTTTCATACTTCTTCTTACTTCTACAGATGAGAGGGAGTCATCTATGGTTCTAACTGCAACATGGTGTTTGTAATGATGGAAGGATTGGAAATCACTGATATCACCTGTCATGTGATCAGATGCTTAATAGTTCACTATCCAAGGCCGATTCTTCCTGTTGAGAGTAACAAGAGTAGATTCAAGACTACATAGATGTGCTAGAAGACTAATAGAAGGCTCACAATATTATCTCAGAAGTTTTTGGAGAGCTTCAAATTGTTCCTTGCTAAATGGATAATGTTCATGAGGCTCGTCTTCCTTGGATGTTGTATTTGCTTGATTTTTCCCATCACCTTTAACTTTGTTGGGCTTCAAATCTGCCAGCTTTCCATAAATTTTCCAACACATCTCATTAAGACGACCAAACTTCTTGCAATATTCTCACCACGGTCTGTTTTTCTTTGATTTTTTGTCCTGAGATGATTTGTGAGTGTATAAAGCGAAGTTGTCAACATTTGATGCAGTGGGATTACTTGTCATCATGACTTTCTTCTTGCTCTCATCTATTCGTGCTTTATCAATGGATTCATGAATTAGGGGAAGAGATTTGGTTCTAATGATTCTTCCTCTAACTTATCTAGTTCCCTGTTGAGTTCTCGAATGAAGTTGAAGGTTCTCTTATGTTTTTGTAAAGCGCAAATTCTTGTGTGCACATCAATGTGGAGGTTTCATGCATATCTAATTGAAGCCAATATCTGGAGAAAATGTTGAAGTATTAAGTGACATTCAACTCACCCTACCACAGATCATATAATATAGTTTTAATGTCAAATAACTTGGAGGTGTTGTCAACAATTGAATGGGTTTTCCTTGCAGTATCCTTTTTGTTTTCTTGACTTTTTGTACAGGAGGAAGTTTTCTCCAATTTCTGTGGTAATGGAGTTTTGCCAAGTCATGACATGATTATGTGAACTTCAATCTTGAGTGTCCGATGTTTAAGATCAGTAATTTTTTGTGCGGGATTTTTCTCAGTGAGATGATCGTTATTTCCTTTCTCACAAATGTACTTAAAACATAGATTGAGATCATTGCAAGAAATTATTGTTATGTAGTTTGTGATTGGTGATGCAGAAAGAGAATTCAGATTCTGCAGAACCAAACATCATAGAGTCAGGTTCAGAAGTAACTTCTAAAGAGGAAGAAGTAGCTTTCATATCGTATTTGGTCACGATAAGGCGTCAACAAGAAGGAGTTTCATTGGCGGGGAAAGGATTTCTAGCTGAGAAAAAATTATGTCGTCGACATATGATTTTCAACCATACAGAGGGGCAGGATTTGTGTTGGAGAGATGGGAGTGGTTGCCATCAGGGTACATTCAGTCTCAGACATGGAATTTTCACTATAGAGAATCACGACAACCGGATTATGATATCTGCTGCAAAGGATTTCCACTGGAGAAAGAAGATCAGATAGACCCACCGATTATGATTTCCACTAAAGGGAGAAAATCTTGAGATTCATTGTATCTGTGATCGAGGAAGCTTGTGACTGCTTCCATAGAAAATAGTGGAAGTCTATGGGAGTAGTGAACGCTGTAGGGAAGATTCCGACTGAGGAAACATAATGTATAGCTGCTCTGATGGCACGCAACAGAAGCCTGCTCTGATAGAAGGCAGTGAAAGCCCACGGGAGTAGCAAACACCTGCATGAAAGATTTCGATAGGGGAGTGTGACTGCTCTGATGGGATGCTACGAAAGCTTGCAGAACCAAACCCTTGCAGGCTTCTGCAAGGAAGATTCTCCTAGTGGAACGCCTGCAGGAAGCTAACAGGCTAGTTGTCGGCTACAAGCTAGCCGTGAGAAAGAGCAAAAGCATGTGTTGGAGAGTGTCTTGCTTCAGGGAGGATTCCGGAGACTTAAGCGAGATCTAGGTTTTGATACCATATGGAATTTAGGAGGAACTCCTAGAGGAAAAATTGTCTAATTTCTCATTTTACTAATACAAACAGATAACAAACATATACAGCTCAAGCTTTGTTTAGAGCTAGAACCGTTTGATGCTCTTCTCAGCTAGCTACCTGGATAAGCTTTGATTGTCAATCATTTAGCAAGAGAACTTGAGTCAGCTCAGAAACAAGCACAAAACATCCCCATTTCCAACTTACGATTTGAAATTTTTATCTTGGATAGTATGAGGATTTATAATTACGAAAATACATACATATCACGCAATTCTTATGTATTTACATATCTCACACATATACTTTCATATTTACATTTATAGCACTTTGGTGCTTTAAATCTATGCATGAAAAGGTATATTTTACCATTTTTGGTTTGAAATTAAAGATTTGAGTGATGGGTGTGTAAGTATGTAAGTTTAGGTGTGAGATATGTAAACCCGAGTAGTTTGGGCAAGGTTGATGGTGGTTGTGATTGGATGCAATGTTTACAATTTGTCATTACAACTTGGGCTTTAAATACAATAATGAACAAGCAGTACAGTATTTTGCTTTTTTAAATTTTTTTCATTGAATGTCATCTAAAACAATGCATTTGCTTTTAAACCATTTGTTTGCTATCTGTTTACTGACATGTCATGATTAAGTCGCACTGTTCTTCAGCTGTCAGTTCACTATCTTGGCATGAAAGCTTAGGTGTAAGTAGGAAAGTTTAGGTGTGAGATGTGTAAACACGAGTAGTTTGGGAAAGGTTGATGGTGTTTGTGATTGGATGCAATGTTTACAATTTGTCATTACAGCTTGGGCATACAATAATGAACAAGCTTTACATGATGTTGCCTTTTGAAATTATTTTCATTGAATGTCATCTAAAACAATGCATCTGCTTTTAAACCATTTATTTGCTCTGATATGTCATGATTAAGTCGCACTGTTCTTCAGCTATCAGTTCACTATCTCGGATCTGACTCTGTATGGCACCGCAGGTGATCAATGTTTCATCACCAAATACTCCTGGACTTCGTAAACTTCAGGGGAGGAAACAACTTAAGGATCTTATTAAGAGGGTTGGAGCCTAAATGAGTCTTGTAGTGTTTCCTTAGAGACTTCTTTCTGATGTAGTTTTAAAGTTTCCAATATCAAATTATAGGTTCAAGCTGCTCGTGATGAGATGCAATGGGCAGAGGATGGTCCACCGCCATTGCTTGTGAAGATTGCTCCAGATTTGTCAAAACAAGATCTTGAAGACATTGCAGCAGTAAACTTGGATCTCCATCCTACCTCTGACCCTGTCCCCTTAAATTGGCTTCGCCATATTCTCATTTGTTTTTAATCTTTTACAGGTGGCTCTTGCACTTCGCTTGGATGGATTGGTAATTTCTTTTGTCTGTTTCATTACTCGCCTTCAAGTGGTTGAATATTTCTTTTATGCAAGATTTTAGTTCACTATATATAATGCTAGAATAGAAGTAATTTGAAGCTTAAAAGTTACTGAATTGACTGGCTTGCATTCAATTTATACTCAATACTGTGCTTTTGCTTTGCCAATCTTCTTTTTAACTTATCCGATTATTTGCATGATATTATCTGGGTGCACTTTGAATGAATTATATTTTGTCCATTCTAAATTTTTCTTCTCAGATCATATCAAACACAACCATTTCGAGACCAGATCCTGTAAATAATCATCCTTTAGCTAAAGAAGCTGGTGGTTTAAGCGGAAAAACGCCGCTCTTCGATCTTTCGATGGGCATGCTTAGGGAGATGTATATTCTTACCAGGGTACTCACCAGTCTTTTTTTCCTGCCCTTCGTGGCAGTCTTTATTGAACTTAATACTAACAGTTTAGTTTGCTATTTTATTTGTTTTAGCACTTTCTGTTTTCATGTCCCTTCATTTATCACATTTCTCTTTGTACTAGTATTATAGCAGTAATTCAACCTTTTTGCTATTACAGGGAAAGATCCCACTTGTTGGTTGTGGAGGTATTAGCAGGTATTGGAAACTTTTATTTGTCATTAAATATCACTAGGATATTTTTCTACAGTTTTATTTGCTAAGTTCATGGGAAATTGCGTTTAATGTAGCGGCGAAGATGCATACAGAAAGGTTCGAGCTGGTGCAACACTTGTACAACTCTATACATCCTTTGCTTATGGTGGACCTGCGCTAATCCCCCAGATGAAGGTAATTTGGAACCTTATGTACCCTGGGTCATTTATGTGGCTAACTGCAATAATAGACTATTGGTATAAGCAAATTGCTTTCATTATGACAATGAGTTAGCAATATTAGACTATTGGTATAAGCAAATTGCTTTCCTTATGACAATGAAGAAAAAGGTGCATTGTTCTTTTTTTGCATACCATCTAACTATAATTTGCTTGGTTTTGGTTTGAAATTGTTTTTTATTGTTTATTTCTAATTAGGGTTGTGAATTTAGCTCGAAGATCGTTAAACACTAAAAAATTGATTTGAATTTTGGCTCGGATCGAAATAAACTAGCCGAACCTTTGGATCAAAATTTTTTTTTTCAAGCCGATTTCAAGACATACATGGATTGGCTCGAGCTTACTCAAGACCGATTTGTAGTATTTTTTATTTATAAATATTATATATTTAATGCAAAGTAAAATTGAATATAATGAGTCATGAGTCAATTTCAAGCTGATTTTGAGCTAGAAGGAATCCAAATAACTCAATTTGAGCCATCTAGTTTCAATTTTGAGCTGGTTTGAGCCAATTTCGAGCTAAAGTTGATCCAAATAATTCAATTTGAGCCAGCTCTTTTGATTTTGAGCTGGATCGAGCTCGATTCAATTTCGAGCCAACTCGGCTTGAAATCAAATTTAATGAGTCATGAGCCAATTTCGAGCCGCATTAAATCTATTCAAGCCGGTTTCGAGCCGGGTCCTACTTCTAATGTTTTTAGGTTGTACTAATTAGTTTGTAAAGTGCTTGGTAAATATATTAATTTATTTATTTTTTAAGCCATATTTTATGATGAATTTGAAAAATTTCCTATAATGTGTTGGCTATTATTTATGGTGCTTTTAATTCTTATCTGCATGCAAATATGAATAAGTGTTGGCTTGTCATAATCTAAAAGCTACTTAACATTTACAGGAAAGATTAGATTTCATGATGTAGGATTTTTATTTCATATTTGATATTTTAGACAATATTTTGTCAGTTAGACTTCATAATCATTTTTATTGTTATCAACGTTATTTTAGTCGTTATTAAGTTTGGTATTATATATATATATATATATATATATATATATTGTCCGATCTATAAATAAGGGCATCCTAGGGTACTTGGCTGTGGTCTTTAAAAGAAATCCTTGGTCTGGAACTGATGAAAGAAGGGTGTCAAAAGGCTAATTAGGTTGTTTATAAATAACTTATAGACATCACTCTCATTTGAGTTCAATTTCATAGTTCTAGGCTTTTCATAGGCACAGAAAATCATGGTTAATTACCTCTCTTATTTGTTAGAGAGACTTTGATTAAAATTAATCGTTTGGCTATATCAAGGTTCTTTGTGAGGGTTACCCATCGTGACCATTCTAGGATCTGTAGAAGGGTGAAAGGACACCGGAACGGAGTAGGTATGTTGTAGGATAGGTAAGAAAAGTGGGAGGAATGATGTCGGCTGAAATCTAGCGGGAACGACGGCTGGACTGCAATCCTAAAGCTGAAAACATCTGCTTTCTTTGAAGCTGAAAGGGGTGATATCTGTTTTTGGACTGCAAATTTGAGCAGTTCGATGGCTGTCTGACTGAAAAACAGTGGGTCGAATGGCGGCGGTGAGGAGGTTCCGCCACCTTTTTCTAAGTAACATACACTACTTGTAAAAGAAAAATTATATAATACTCCTTAAAGTAGAAATCAGAGACTGCGATATCCACAATACATAAAACCAAGCAAAAGTCCTCCACACAGAAATAAACAACACAAACAGATTTCTAATAGAAATTAACCCAAATTAAAAAAAAACAAAATAGGAAATAAGAAAGAAAAGACAAAATTTTCAGCTGAGTTTGCCACCAGGCGAGAGGTTACTGTTTCAACCTCCAGCGATCGCTGAATCCATGGTTTCTTGATCAGGAATTCCAAGGGATCGCGGGATCCCATCTATTCTACGATTCTGTGGAAAACTGCAGAGGCAGAAAGCTCCTGCGTCACATAGGTTCTTATATATTGCGATGTTGTCCAAGTAGGATACAACTCATAAGCTTGGGGGAGAAGGCCGGGGAATGATGACAAACCTTTCCGATGCCCTATGGTTCCATCGATCCAAGCATGTTGGCATACCATACCCTAGTCTAAATAATCAGTAGATAGTAACATAGCAATTTTCAAACTGAAGATCCTTTTTAGTAGTCTTGTGTCATGTTATTTAGAGGAATCTCTTAAATTGCGTTTAATAGCTTGCCAAGGAGGCAAATGTTTCAATCAATCTTAGTTGATAAAGGGTTTCACCGTCGTGCAGTATTTCTGTGTTTGAGTTGAACAGCATTATTTATTAGTTTAAGAACCAACGCTCAATATTCTCAAGGGTTGGTGTCGCATTGTATCACATTTTCTTTTATGAAACATTGAGGAATTAAATGAAGTTCATCTGTGGAAGAGTTTTGATGCGATTTCTATTTTGAATAAAATAGAAATTGGGAACAGTTATAATAAATGATACTTGCTTCTTTTCCTTATGTTCATCATGCTGGTATTTATTATTATTTTTTCTTGATTCTAGAATTTGTATTGAAGTGATATTTTACATGTTCATCACATGTATATATACTCCTCAGGCTGAACTGGCAGCGTGTCTTGAAAGAGATGGTTTCAAATCTGTCCAGGAAGCTGTAGGTGTGGATTGCAGATAGCAAGGACTCAATGGAAGACTTCAGCATAAGAGAAATTTTTCCATTGGCTTTCCTTCATCTTATGCATTCATGGGTATAAAAAGTGAGCCCAATTTATTATCAGAGATGTCCGGCAAGCTTTCTCCTGATTCAAGTTACAACAAAGCCTGCTCCAATGTAATTTTTTGATTTTTGATTTTTTGCTTATATGTTTTCCATCTCTACCTTGTAAAGTTTTGCCCGAAATGTAGAGCTCAGTTTTGCTTTTAGAAAACTGCAAGTTCTTTTAAATTTTAGTTATTGTACTTGTAAATTTATTGAATTGTTTTATATGCTGGTTTTTATGAGGGCTTTATTTATTGATTTTTACTCTTTTTAAGGTCCCCCTTACAGCATAAAAATGTTTATGGATGTGTTCTGTGCATGGCCCAGCGGGTTTAATGTTTATTAAGATGAATGCTTTATAATTAACTAACATTAATTAAAAATAATGAAAATGACCAAGGAAAAAAAAATGCCTAGCGTATGATAAGATGCATTCATAAATTCAGCTCGCAACATGAGAAAATTAAGCAAATTATAATTATAATTGTTGTCCATGAATATATATATATAAAGGAATGTACAAAGGCTATTATGTGAGCCACCAACCACTCTTAAATCTTAATGTGTCTAAAATTATAAGTACCATCTCCTTAAGGCTAACTGTGCCAGAGGGTATAATATATATATATATA